TTGGTGTGCCCGCCGTAAGTGAGTCCTCATAATATAATCACACGAAAACAAAATCAGAATAGTACCTATTCTGAGTTCCTACTCTATGATCATGGTGAAAGAAATGAAATTCCGCTTAAAATGTACACTATAGTATTTTCATTTAGTATTAATTACTTAAACTGTTTATATTTACAATATCTATAACCTATATATATATTTACTTCCCCTCCGAGAGGAGATGCCCTCGCATTATCGGACTCCACTCCATCAGGCCGGCTCTTCCCCAAGTAGTTCGTTAGACCGAGGACTGAGTGGATGTACGATAAACAGTGAGGTCCCCCTGACATTTATGGCAGCCTACGTTTAGATGACGCCATGACAAAGAAGTTTCTTGTTCGCGGACAAAAAAAGGTATTAATAGTTTCGAAGTTATCAGGGAAGATACGGCTCTCCCTTTCTCAGTATTATCTTAATCAATATTTTCTGAATTGGGATTAGTGCCCCCTTAACGGCGTTCGCCATGGAGGGCGCGGTGTCGTACAGTCCAGACATGGCGGTGAATAATCGGTCTGAAATGGTCCTGAGACTAGCACCAGGGCCCTGACCACATGGAGGGTGGTGTCAGCGCACACTGCGACGCCTGAATAAGAGGCTTTTTCAGAGTTACCAGAAAGAGCAGTTCCCCGGCATCCCCGCCCGTGCCCGCAGTGATGTAATAAACCCGTCCTTCGTGTGGCAGGGCCCGGCACTAGTCAGCAACGAAGGCAAACCTCACCTGATATAGTAAGAAGATAAGGCCGAGCTCGTACACGATGGAGATGATGAAGGTAAGCCTCCAGATGGCGGGATGTGGCCGCTTGAAGGGGCCGTCGGGCGTCACCGTCACGCCCAGGAGGATGAAAGCCGACAGGCTGGCCACCAGGCCTCTGGAGGTGGGGAGCGGAGGGGAAACGGAGGAGAAGGGGGAGGGAAGGGGAGAGAGAAGAAAGCAATATGAAATTTCTGTGTGAAAGTGGAGATATCTACTTAAGGAATTACAGGAGTTAAAGTTTTATCCTTTTATTTCATTTCTTATTATCCATATAGCCATTTATCTACCTTTCTGCCTATCTATCTATCTGTCTATCCATATATTAAGAAATTTACTGCCTGCCTATCATTCTATTTACCTAAATATCCCTTATCCATCTACGAAATAAGAGAGAGATTATTTTTCTTTTCTTTTTTTTCTTTTTGGGGGTGGGAGGACATATTTATCTTACAATCACATCTCCACACAATAAACGTTATTAAACAATACTGGCAATTTGCACCAGCTTCTTGGTTCGAAAACTAAAGCGAAATTTCAAAGCCGCTCGCGCTATTCGTGTAGGAATGAACGGATTTTTTTGTTACATTTTTCGTCAGCTTGCCATACATAATGCCACAAATGTGACACAGACAGGTGCGAGTTGTTTATCAATCTCTGAAGACTTGTCCACGGTGGGAAACGGTCTCTCTAACCATGCGCCCGCCACTTTCCTTCCGAGTTTGTTGTCACAGATGTCATATAGTTGTCCGTGTGCAATTTCGCTTTTAGCTGGCTGAATAGTTTGTAGGCTTCGCATTGTATGGTAGGTATTTTGGCAATGTTTTGGCGGCTGCCTACAAAAATATAGCGTGTTTTTCAATCTTTGGTCACTGATGTCTAAATATCGCTTTGCTTCTATAATTCTATCTCTCAATTAATGTAATTTTTTCGCAGTGTGAAAAAAATGTGTCATCGCCGCGATAGAGAAGGTAATTTGACAGATTAATAATGGAAATTGAATAAGGTCGGACAGAGTATAAATCCTTGGAGAACAACGGAAAGCATGATTTGGTATACATTTCGTAACAATTAACTCATAGTGGTCTTGAAAAATACATCGGCGATACAACCGACGCCTCTGGTCGAATTGTGAAAGCGTGTTTGCTCATTTTCTGTTGGTGTAAATTTTGTTTGTGATTCGTTATAACGCTGTTTCTAGAGATGACACACTTTTGAATCCATGTTGCATTTCCTTTCCAGAATGTTAACCGGTTTACTACCCTTTCCTTGTGAACTTTCGGCACGAACTTTACCCATTAAGAGAGTGACATTGCAATATTCATTGTGTCTGCATCTCCAAGATAAGTTATGCAGATAAATTTCCAGAGAGAGGGGAAACATCCGTGACAAAGCATATGGATGCTAATGATGACAGCACTTTCGGGCAGACTTTCCTTTATCAATTAAAACGCAACACCATTTGCTCCTACGTCTCACGCAGCTGGTTTATCATTAGAATGGTTGTTTTTATTCCCTCTAGATTCAAGCGCAATGCAAAATAAAAATCATTATTTCTCTCAAAACTTGTACCATAACTTGTAAGGCTTTACATTTAATAGACACATGTTCACCAACAATTTCATAATAATGATTTCTACGAGATTTGTTAATAACAAAGGTTTATAAGTAACGAGATTTTTTGAAAAAGGTCAGGCTCGTCAATAGGGACTAGGGGGTGCGGCGAGGGGGAAGGGGGTTGCTAAGACAATACCCCCCCTGCCCCTCAAGGAAATCCGAAATGGCGCCCCTGAATGTGCTCTTGTCACTGATGGAGTTTGGGCCGATGTCTGTGCGATGTCTTGTTATCAGGGGCTGTTGGCAGGGCCACGTTTACATTCGTTGGATTTATTCTTTTCGTAATTTGTTTTCGTGCATGAATTAGTGTCTTCACGTGTCTCTTCTTTTGTGCTGATTCAGCCTAAAGGTCGTGGCAACTTTGTCCACTTTGAAAGTTTTGTGACTGTTATATACATTAGTTATGGCCTTTCTTGCATCAGTGTTCCTTGGCGATGTCTAACGATTTTGTGTCATACCGGAAGTGGAGGCAAATGCAATCATTTCTGACACGCTCGTAAAAATGTTAACTTGAATGTCACCTCTATCTGCTCATAAAATCTGAGAGAGAGGGGGAGGGAGAGAGGGGGAGGGAGAGAGAGGGAGGAGAGGGAGAGCGAGAGGGAAGGAGAGCGAGAGGGAGGGAGAGGAAGG